AGCAGCGGCCGGTGGCGAAGTTCCACAGTGGCGAGCGGCTTGATGGTGCCGTTTTTACAAGACCGACGACCATGGGCACGACAAGACCAGCGACACGATGAGATCAGTGGCCGCAACCATTTGGATGAGACCAACGGCGTGAGGAGACGGCGTCGAGAGGCTACAATGACGGAGCGACTGCCGACTGGGCTGCGGAGAGCGATGGCGAGCGGGGGGGAGGGGAACCGACGGCCGTGAGCCGCGTCGAGGATTGGCTCGAATTCGCCTGCTGGAGTTTGTGCGTGAGTGTGTGTCGTGTGTGCATGTATGTAATGTTTGTGTATATGTGTATACAGAGTGTGCGTTTTGTTTATTGTGTGTGCACGTGTGGTTTGGTGTGTGTGTGTGGGGAGAGAGAGAGAGAGAGACATGTGAGGTGGCAGACGGGCCCCACATGGTAGTGGTTGTGTGGTGGCATGGGTCCCATTGTTGAGTGTGGAAAATTACCACATTTTCCTTAATGAAGGTATATTTTTGGTCTTTTTTTATCCATTAGATCATCCAATCTAATAACTACGATTCATTCTTATTTCTTTCACTTAGCACATTTCTCACTTGAACTCAACCCTATCATGTATATTATATATATATATATATAGGGGCTGGTTCAAATAAAAACTAGTCCTAGTGTGAGAACCGTGAGAACCATATTTGATGTTATTTTTAATTGTATATGATTCTATTTTTAATATTAGATGATGCTATCATTTTCGCAAATGCTAATATAAATTGTGTTGCTATTTTTAATAAAATCCATCTTGGTTAAAAATAGCACCAAACACAATCAATCATAGCACTACTCACAATTAAAAATAGCAATTCTCACGGTTCTTACACTAAAAACTTGGTTCTCATATAAACACACACATACATATGTAGATGTTAAATTTTAGACATGTTTTTCTTCAACATAGTTTACAAAAAATTTAGGTGACTCCACATTTTTTAAAAATAATATAGAATATTTTAAATACTTTTATGTATTTTTAAAATATTTTAGGTATTTTTAATATTTTAAATATATATGTTTTATGTTTTTTTATACAAGATAATTTTATATTAATTACAACACGCCGAGCACATCATCAGGAGAATACAGACCCACGTGTATCGAACAATATTCGCCGCATACCTGAATGCCTCTTTGACTTCGCTTCGCCAATACTTCCGACTTCACTGCGCTTCGCTTCGTTTGTTCCTTTCCTTCACTTCGGTTCGCTTCGTTTGTTCCCCTTATTTTTTATTGACATACGTAAATTATATCACATGTTAACTCTATATTTTTAATTTATAATTATTATTTGATATTGTTTACGCACATTGTAATTTATAATTTCTAGTGCGGTACTCGTGCAATGCACGGGCTAGTATTATTAAGGGAAGCATTTAGATTTGGATACTTGGATGATTGGTCGTAACATAAAACAGATGTATTGAAATAAAACAAAATGTTAATTATATATTATTGAATACCTCCTTATACACAACATTATTTGTTTGGTCTTTTGATACATCGTCATCATCACAATTTTAAATCTGAAACCCTTATGATTCGTAACGCGTGAAACAGCTACATACAGCTGACTATGATTGAATACCAATCTCAAGAATAGGCCAACTTACGATAAAGATTGACCCTTAATCTTGTTTATCGTCATGTCGTAAGAAACCATCAGTGGGAAGTGTCTTCACTAGAATTTGAAAGGTATCCTAATATTAGAAGGAGTTAGCTTCATGCGCGGAACCAACATATTTTCACCTAAATGATCTCCAGCGAGGATTTTACATTCTAGCACATGAGCGGAGAGCTTTGTAACAACCAATCGCGTTACGTTGCACAATCCCATGTATATATCCATATTTCTCAACAACATGACCGGAGTTCTTATCTTCAAATGCAACTCATGATTCAACACTCCAGAACATTTGATAGAATTCAAGAACTTAGGCGTGTGTCGATTAGATAAAAGGTCGTTCTGACAATCTGACTTGCGCATACTGTCAGAACTCAAATAAGTATGTCCTTCACCAAATTCAATGACGTCATGTACTGATTAATAGACTCAACAATCTCTAACGGTGGTGCTAATATGGCTCTCCTTCAGATAACTAAGATCATCGGTTGTTTTTTTAAACATGGATATGTGCTTTCAACAATTTGTGCAATCGGATGGTCAGATGGGTTCAATCACTATATCTTCAGGTATGTCTATCACAACACAACCATCATTTGAGCCCCCTATAGTTCCATCTCCGAGCTCGCTATCCAATCGGCAATTCAAGTTAGCTCCTCACGTTCATCTTTATCATCAAGACATTGAAGACGCATGTTTTTCATCGGCATCAAAGCTGAACAGTCTCTCGAAGAAGTAATAGTCACATTAACAATATCCTGACGACTCCTTTCGGAATGAATGGGAGAATTTGTTGAAAGTCTCCACCAAGAATAGCAGGCTTTCCTCTGAATGGCTTGTAATGATTCATAGGTTTAATTTCTCCAACGATAACTTTCAATGATGTGTCTAAACCGAATTTATGTTGACATTTTATTTATTATATATCACATTTATTGCATTTGATATTGTTTATTATATATATCCAAATTAGTGTGATGACATGGATTATATAGATATGAATCGTGATTAGTGTTTAAACAAATGTGGTTTATTTACATGTTTAATCACGATAACGAAAGTGATATAGCTTCCAATAATTTCTACTTGGATTACGGCTAAATCAAGGGTAATTAGTTTGAAATTTGTACTTAATAAGTACCATTATTAAAAGGTGATCGGGTCTCGAATATAAATTAATTAATCCCTAGGTGATTGTGAATTTAAGCATGTGAAAAGGTGTGTATTAGCATAAATTGAGAGCCTAATTAGCTTTTTGACTAACTCAGTCAATAATACGTAATGCTAAATGCAAACCCATGTGCCTAGAATTTACACACAGATATGCGTCAATTATAGAATTGCAAACAGTATTGCAGTACATTTAATGCACTATTCACGACTTAATATTTTTTTTTTTATTTGAATAATTTTATCATTTTTTGTATGTTGTTTATATTTGGTTTATTTTGATATATATTATATTGACGTGTATTAATAAATTTATAATTGTATCAAAATATTATTCTAGATAAACACATTTATTATGTTAACTTACTATAAATTAAAATAAAGCATTATTAGAAATAATAATTTTTTGTTTAATTGTATTTCGTAAAAAAATAATAGACTCGCCAAGAATATAAATGTTCGTTATACGTATGAAATAATATGTAATCAAATTACTTTTATTCAATAAAATTAATTCAAAATAATGGTAATAAAAGGAAAGTATTATGGGCAGAGTAAAATGTAGTGCGAACGGTTGAAGCTAAAAGTTTTAATTTTCAGTTTACTTTACTCTAGAGTTAAGTAAACTGTATACTAGAATATAAATAAAACTTGAAGATGACTCGTAGTGAGGATATATATTCCCCCTATATATAATTTTCGAATTTGCTGAGGTTAGATTGCATGCTTCGAAAGTTTATTTGACATAAATTTGTGCATCGTATTGACACATATTGTATATACTTTGTTTACCAACTAGGTTTGGAATTATCAAAAAATTATCTTACCTTTCATTTTCTTAAATTACCATATATTATCTTTCTTTTTTATTAATTACTATACACTACATTTCCTTTTTCTTATTTAATTAATATATTATTTATTATAAATATTTATTCTGCTTATTTTAAAAAAATAACTTTTTTTATTTCTGTAATTTTTTCCACTATGATATATCAAAATAAGCATCTTTAACGACTTTTAATTTTATATCCATATTGCATATATAATGTAAAAATTATTTCAATGTCTTTTATTTATCATACTAAAGAAAATTATCAAATAAAAATATAATTAGTCCATAAAGTAACAATAATTAAATTTAATAATATAACATAAACAATCATTTTGGTATATTGTTTTTATAGATCTGGAGAAAATTTACAAATTGAGTATTAACAAACAAATGAATATGAAAAATATGAAAAAAAAAAATCGACACCAAAACTCTTCGATGGTCATGAACCGGAAGCACCTCCTTCACGTTAGTCGTATTATACAAATTAATTAGGAAACGAGAAAAAAAAATTGATTATTTGATAATTTAAGCTAACAAAAGCCTAAAAGTTACTATTAGAGAGTTAATGAACACAAACATTTGAGCATAATGCGAGATCGTGAGAATTGAGAAATGAAGATGAAGAGTGAAGAAAGATGCGAAAAATGATTTGTAAGAAGGGAGTTCAACTACGACGGGTTATAAGATTTTTTCAATTTGTTCTACTAAGATTTATCTCATTGAAATAATAAATAAAATATTTTTTTTAACAAAAACTACTACTCATCTCAATTAATTTTTCCTTTAAAATTCCACTAACAAAATTAATATTATTATTATTATTATTTCGAACAAAAAAAAATTCACCACTCATATATTTCTAATAACCGTTATCAAACAAATGTTCTATTATTTTATATTTACATTTATATATATATTCATTCCCAATTACGATNCATTTTACGATGGAATATTATTTTTGATTATGAAAAAATCCTATATCGAATTGCACCGGGAAAAAATAGGAAAAAATAAAACAAAATCCTATCCAACAAACTCGTTGGTTTTAGGCGGGGCCCGAACCAGTCAGATAAAAAAAATTATATAGTCGGCCCAGACTAGTTGACTTCAAGCCGGACCAGTTCACCAGGTGTCCGAGTTAGAGTCTGAACCGAGTCCGACCACGTTAACTAGCTTTAAGATTTCAACAGTGAGTCAAAAAGAGATCGCACATTGTGAGGACTAACATGACGATATAATTTGTGATAGGTTAGTAACATCATTAGTGCTTATAATAATACTTATTTTAATATGTGTTCGTTTCCAATAATACTCCCATATTATTCCTTCTACACTAATTAAATAATTCCAACTTAAAAGGTGGTCATATGCTTCGTACCACACTACGGTTATTTGATTTAAATGTGTAGTGCAATCCTACACTCTATTAGTCATTCATATTATTTAAATTACGACAAAGAAAGAAGTACCGAAAAAATTCTCAATCCTAGTTTAGTTATTATTATTATTTTTTTTTATTATTTTTTTTTAACGAAACGATAGATAACTCAATAAAAGAAAGGATACAATATCCGAATACAATCCACAAATACAAATATACCGCATGAAATGGGAGACCTCAACACTGAGGTCTAAACAATAAAAAACAATACTAAGGCAGCAAAACGCTGAAATCCTAAGCATCATCCATGAACAAAGAGGCTTGAAGAGATATTAAACTGTCCAAAGGCCTAGAATAGCTCGTCCATCCTCCCACCGCAAGTCAAGTAACAATAAATTCAGTTCACTCCCTCACAGCTTGTTGAATAATGCACTGTTCGGGAATATTTTAATTTTTAAAAATCCATAAGTTGCGGGACTTCCAGAACCACCATAGAATGTACGTCGAGAGTTGGATTCTATTTTCATTGACTTCCTTGTGGCTTAGAGAACAAATGCTCCACCACCAGTCAACAAATTAAGCAGGTGGTTGGGGAAAGTTATCCCAGGTTAATGGAGCCACACTCCACACCCTTTTGGCTTTTGAACACTGCCAGAGAGCATGCTCAATTGTTTCCACATCTTCTCCACAGACTGAGCAGATAGGATCAAGTGAGACTTCTTTCTATTAATAAGATTCTGTGAGACAGACAGAGCATTGGAAAAGCATTTCCAAATGAAATGCTCTATCTTGTCTTTGATCTTCAATCTCCAGGTCCTAGCTCTAACTTACACATCTTTAGTTCTAGAGAGGCTGCCTTCAGGTCTGTCAAGAAATGAGAGTTTATTCAACATTAGATTAGAATAGGCAGAGGCAACAGAAAATGGCCCTTTCTTGGAATTAAGCCATAGCCAGCTGTCATGCTTTTCAGGATTAAGATGTTTCAGCTTCAAAATAGCATCTGCAGTATCCTTGTCAAAGAGAGGGGAAACCAGATCAGAGTTCCATTGCCTTCCATCTGGAGTGAGCAATTCATGTACCCATCTTCAAAGTTGTTTCATAATCATTGCTTCATTAAAAAGTTGTATGTCTTGAAATCCCAAACCTCCCATTTCCTTAGGAATTGTGATCTTCTGCCAGGCCACCCATGGGATTCCTTTGTCCAGATTACTACCTCAGCTGAGGAGAGAAACTTATTCTTCCAACTCTGAATTTGGCTTCTCACTGCATCAGTGACATAAGAGAAAGTTTGGATCTTGGACTTACCAATTCCCAAGGATAAGCCTAGATATTTAGTAGAGCTATGGACAGGGATATCATTGAGCACAAAGCAGATATTGTTCATCACATGAAAAGGGGTATTCTTACTGAAAAAAAAAATGAAAGATTTGTTCCAGTTAACACTTTGACCAGAAAAAGCCTGATATTTATCCAAAATGCTCATAAGTTGGTACGCCTGATTAGAGTCAGCTTTACAAAAGATTAAAGTGTCATCCGCAAACAGTAAGTGAGAGTGAGTAGGCCCATCTTTAGAGAGTCTGACACCTTTAAGTCCTCCCAGACCATCATCATGATGAAGTAAGCCAGAAAAAACCTCAGCAACAATGATAAGGTAGGGGGTCCCCCTGCCTAATTCCCCTAGAAGGTTGAACCAACCCAGTAACAGAACCATTAATATTGAAGGAGAATACAAGAGTAGTAATGCAGCCCATGATCCAAGAAACAAACTTGGTATGAAAACCCATTTTGCACAAAACTTGTTGAATACTACCCCATTCCAGTATGTCAAAAGCCTTTAACAAGTCAAGCTTAATAGCCATGAAAGAGTTCTTACCTGATCTGTGCCTATTAAGGAAGTGAAAAACCTCCTGAGCCACAACAACATTATCCAGGATAGACCTGCCTGGTATGAAAGCTGCTTGAGTGTCACTGATGCATGAGTGGAGGCAAGGCTTGATCCTGTTGGCTAGAATCTTAGAAATTGTCTTGTAAAGCACTCCACATAGGCTGATGGGCCTGAAGTTTCTCAAAGAGACTGGGTGCAGACATTTTGGAATTAAGGTTATGATGGTGTGATTCCAGTACCTAAGCATTCTTCCTGTCTCAAAGTATCTTTGAATGGCTTCACATATGTCTTCCTTGAGGAGAGGCCAAAAGTGTTGATAAAATAGGCAGGTCATGCCATCTTCTTTAGGGGATTTTTCAGAGCTCATACTGAATAGTGCAGTTCTTATCTCATCTTCCTCAATGTCAGCAATCAAAGCAGCATTCTGAAGCTCAGAGAATGAGGATGGAATGATGTTGAGAAAATCATTAGTACAGGATGATCCTTCTGAAGAGTATAGCTTGTCATAGAAATGGCAAACACAGTTCTGAATTTCCTGAGGGGATTCAAACACTCTCCCTTCTTCATCAACCAACCTAGAGATGGCATTTAATTTCCTCCTTTGTGTGGTAAGGGCATGAAAGAACTTTGTGTTCTTATCACCCTCTTTAAGCCATACTTGTCTTGACTTCTGTCTCCAGTATAGTTCTTCTTCTAAGTGAGCCTTGTTCAGTTGATCTGATAGGAATGCCAAGAGTTCCAGTCCCTATCACCCCCTTCAAGTCTAAGAGAATCCAGGGCTGCTGTGAGTGAGCTGATCTTTTTCTGGTTGTCAGAGTGGTGTGATTTACTCCAAGAAAGAAGAGCAAGTCTGGTAGCTTTGATTTTTTTCTTTCACTTTAAACATTGGTGTCCCTTCTACCGGTTTGTGCCCAGGCTTCCTCAATCACTTCTTGCACACCTTCCTTAGATAGCCATCTCTTATCAAATCTGAATCTGCTTTTTCTCTTGATTGACTGAGGGTCAGTGTTGATGAGGAGCATGCTGCGGTCTGAGGAGCTCTGAAAATGTTGTCCACAGTGGCATGAGGATGAGCATTAAGCCACTCTATAGAACAGAAGGCTCTGTCCAACTTTACTTCAACAAACTCTGAGTCTTCCCTGTTGTTTGCCCAAGTGAATTGGTATCCTTGCCATGTAATTTCTGTCATGCCCATATTGGCAATAAATCATTTGAAGCCCATGAAACTCTACAGAGATCTGAGAGAGCCACCTCTTTTTTCCTCATTAGAGCAAAGATCATTCCAATCCCTTGCACAAAGCTAATGATTCCCCCATTTGGTTTGCATCATTAACAATTGTTCTCATTGGGATTCCCGGATACTTTTGATAGAGCTGAGATAGACCAGAATGAGCCAAGATCTGTTGTTGTCCTGCTCAGTAGAGAATTCAACTTCCAAGCAAAAGTCATGACAGATAATTTGAGAAATAATAATATCTTTATCCCACATCAAAAGCAAACCTCCAGAGAGCCCAGAGGGATTAACAGATTTCCATCTACCTTCACATCTTAAACTAATACAAACAGTATTTACAAAAGATTCAATTTTTTTGGTTTCTGATAGAAAAGTAAAAGCTGAGTGGTGGGTCCTTATGGACTCTTTGAGTAGGGGAATTGTAGAGGGGCCACCCAAACCTCTACAATTCCGCACCAGGACTCTCATTGATCACTGGTTGGCCCATTAAGGCTGGCCAACTCCATCTTTTCTGAAGAGAGTTTAGGTTTCTTACTTGGATCAGCAGGAGAGGGGTGAACTTCATTCTGATGAGACATGTCTTGGTCTGCAACTCTTCCCCTTTTGTGAGTGATATTTGTTGAGGAGTTTGTAGGGGTCCTTTGGTTTTGAGAGATCAACAATCTTCCTTGTGAGGCAGTTGCCCTTCTACATTTTCTGCCTTTAGGTTTGACAGGAGAAGAAGAAGCTGATGTGTGAAGGGCATTCTCAGTAACCATCTCAGTGGTGCTGTCCACCTCATGTGTAAATTCAACTCCTTCTTCGATGGTCCTAAGTTCATTCAGTTTGGTGTCTTGGGTGCCACTCTTCACCTTATCAGAGACATGGGTGATGATTGGTTCCAAGGGGGAGCTTTGGATATGGACTCTTTGATCTTGCTGAGTGTCCATAAGAGAATGAACAGGGACTTCGATCAAGCTCGAGGATGCTACTGGCTGAGAGGACTGGGTTTGCCTTAAGTCAGAGGGGATTTGGATTGGATTAGAGGTGGAATTTTTCACAGGACCAGAGCTTTTTGAGCCCATAGAAGCTGATTGGCTTGGTTGAGAAGAAGGGGAACCTGTAAACCCTTCCCCTACATTTAGCCATTCTCCATATTGACCCTCCAACAGGGAGCTACTCTCAATGTCCTCAGTCTTTTCTTACAGTCTCTGTCAATGTGCCCTAGAGTACCACAGTAAAAACAGAGGCTAACAAGTTTCTCATATTTGAAGTTCACCTTAATAACCTGGTCTCCCAATCTAACATTGGCGCACCTCATAAGCGGCTCCTTGACGTTGACAGAGACTAGTACTCTGATAATTTTGCCTTCTCCAATTTCACCTGTTTTTGTAACAATGACATTTTTAACTTTCATAAAAAGCTTGCCAATTTTCAAGCCTACTTCTGTACTTAGCCAATGGAAGGGAATATTATGGATATGAACCCATAATTGAAGTTCTTCAAAACACTTGTGGCCACTACTAATGCCATCAAAACATTCGCGAAGTATTAGATACTGATTATCATAAATCCAATTAGTACCTGATGCTACCTTATTCATGTCGTCTCCTAGCTTAAAGATAAACTGGAAAAAATTAGGGCCAAGCTCCCTAATTTCGACAGGCTTTTGGATTTTCCAGATGAAGGCCATCGTTCTCTTGAGACCAAATAAACTTGCTTTCTTTTCTCCAATAACCTTGCCGAAGAGGCTTCGCTGACAGATATCCTTGCTGAGTTCAATGTCATCCGACCCAATATCCACTATTGAATTTTCAGCTTCAGATAATTTGATTTTCCGCATTTGTAGTTCCAAATAGTCCTCTCCATCGAGATTCGGTGGATCCTCTCCTTGTGCTGTCATACTCTGGATGATTGCAACTATAAACTCAAAGGATCTTATGCAAGATAATAGAAAAGAGGGGAGAATTGGGAGAAATAAGGGTTCCCAAAAGGGAGAATTAGGGTTTTGGATTGACTGCTACACCAATTTATTTTAAGTGGTTCTTTGATGATTGCGTGTTGCCTCAATCCTAGTTTACTTGCTAAGATTTTCGTCTAATCACATTAGCTTAACTCTAAATACTTGCAATTACTTTAACATAATTTGTATACATACATGTGCTTTTACATTAATTACATATAAGGGTTCACTAATATTATATTTAAGTTTCCCAGAGTGTGTTTAATTTTATTCTCTTAAACATTTACCATTAACGTCTTACTCTATAATACATGTCGTGCGACCAATTGATTATTTTATAATATTTGATCTTTAATTTAAATATTATCTACGAATAGTAATTAACATAGTTTTCAAAATTAGATCGTGCCATCTGGTCAGATAAGTTGGATATCCCGAACAAGAAGAGGCAATTGGTTGCTACGAACCGTTCACAAACCCGTCTCTGATCGGTTAAACCGAGCAAGAACCAACCTATTGGCCATGTCCTTTTTCTAAGAAAATAATTTTAGTATATCCAAATATATTTTTATTTAAAATAAATAAAAATACATATAATTGTACATGTATAAATTATTATTTTATTAATTTAAGTATTTTAAATATTTAATCAATAACATTTATAGAAGTAATATTTATTACTGTAAAGTATTATATATAAGTACTATTAAATTGAATATCAATCAAACCAATTTGACCACTTTTCAACTAATGAGAGTTTATAAATGACCGATCGGTTTTCTAATTCGATTACGAGACCCTCCTATTTAACTTAACAACGGTATGTTTTTGTTAATTAGAAGACAATAATAGTTAGGCGGTTGTACCATTCTGACAAAATACTTATTTTAATGTTCAAATATCATACTTTAAAATATAGTACAAATAAAAGTATGACATTTAATAGTACATGTATTAATTTTCATAAAAAAATTATGATTGACTAATAACGATTAGATAACCAAACATCAAAGTTTGTAATAATAAAGCCTACAATTCATTTAGCATGTAGGGGTGAACAACAGTGCGACTATATGCATAACTGCATTGAACTAATAAAAAATAAAAATTCAAACCTATATAAAAAATACGAACTGCACCACAACATATATATAAAAAAAAGAATCGATCTTTTACACTAAAATATTTGCGCAAAAATACACGATTCGACTTGATTTGGCGGGTTTCCTCACTTATTTATACTTTTTTATTTAATTTCCAATTGAACTTTTGAAAAGTAATAATCAAATCACAAGACAGTATAGAAAAAATCAGCGAAATCGAACTTAATATTTTCAATACTAAAAAAGCGAATTGAATTACACCGAATTGTATGTTCAACTCAGACTATTCGATTTCCACCCTCACCCCTACTAGTAGCGATATCCTTTGCCCGATTGACTGCAAAAATGCTAGGGATATCATGGTAAATTCAGGTCAAAGTCGAGTTTAGCTATTCGAGAACTCTGTATCGATAAAAGCTCCAATTGAAAAAACAGTATTTCTTCCCGACTCCACTTTCTCTCTCCTGGCCACTCTTTATAAACTCTCACTCTCTCTCTCTTCCCTTCTCTTTCCACTCCCGAATTCTCTCTCTAGAAGATCGATTGATCAATCAATTATCAATCAATCCTCCGGCGATGGCCTCAGCCATCAGGAAAGTAAACATGATCGCCCAGATCGTGCGGCTGAGGCAGGTCGTCCGCCGCTGGAAGAACAAAAGCCTCACGCGCCGCCGCCCCGACTACGACGACGCGTCGGAGACGGCCCGACGGACGCCGTCCGGTACCGTCGCGGTCTACGTGGGCCGTGAGCGGGCCCGGTTCGTCATCCCCACCCGGTTCCTGAACCTGCCCGTGTTCGTGGCCCTCCTCCGTCAGGCGGAGGAGGAATTCGGGTTCCCGGCCGCCGGCGGCCTGGCCCTGCCGTGCGACCCGGACTTCTTCTGGGAGGTCGTACGGCTTCTCGGCGGCGACGAGCGGAGGTTCTCCTGGATGGGTCTGGACGAGTTCCTCGCCGTGATTTCGGAGCGCGCCAGCGGTGATTTGTCGTCTTGTAAAGATTCGTCGTGCTCGCACGCGTTTGCGCCATTGCTGCCCAAGGAGAGGGTTTGATTACGGTGATTGATAAATAA